CAAAAAAAAAAAAAAAAAAAAAGCAACAACACGCCAGGCACAGTGGTTCACCCCTGTAATCCCAGCACCTTGGGAGGCAGAGGTGAGAGGATTGACTGAGCCAAGGGGTTCGAGACCAGCCTGGGCAACATGGTGAGCCCTTGTCTCTACAATAAATAAAAAAATTAACTGGGTGTGGTGGCACACAGGTGTAGTTCCAGTTACTTGGAAGGTTGAGGTGGAAGGATATCCTAAGCCCAGCAGGTTGAGGCTATGGTGACTGTGACCATTGTACTCCAGCCTGGGTGACAGAGTGAGACTCCAACTCAAAAAAAAAAAAAAAATTAGCTGGGCGCGGTGGTGCACACCTATAGTTCCAGCTACTTGGAAGACTGAGGCAGAAAGACTGCCTGAACCAAGCAGATCAGGACTGCTGTGGCTGTGAGTATGCCACTGCACTCCAGCCTGATTGACAGAGTGAGACTCTGACTCAAAAAAAAAATTTTTTTTTAATTAGCCAGGAGTGATGGAGATACCTATAGTCCCAGCTACTGTGGAGACTGAAGTGGAAAGATTAAAGGAAAAAAAAAAAGCAATCAACAGTAAAAAGGACTATATTAGAATGTATATGTAAGAAACATAATTTTTTTTTTTTAGTTGGAGTCTCACTCTGTCACCCAGGTTGGAGTGCCATTGCACGCTCAGGACCATGGCAACCTTGACCTGCTGGGTTCAGGTAATCCTTCCAATTCAGCCTTTCAAGTAACTGGAACTACAGGTGAGTGTTACCACGCCTCAGCCTCCCAAAGTGCTGGGATTACAGTCTTGAGCCACCATGCCTGGCAGAAACATATAATTTTATCCTTTTTTTTTGGAATTGGAGTCTCACTTTGTCATCCAGGCTGGAGTGCAGTGGCAGCTAACGACCAGCCCAGTATCAACCTGCTGGGCTTTGGCAAACCTTCTGCCTCAGCCTTCCATGTAGCCAGAACTTCAGAAGCACACTACCATGCCTGGGTAATTTTTTTTTTTTAATTGTAGAGATGAGGTCTTGCCAAGTTGTTCTGACTGGTCTCAAACCCATGAGCTCAGGAAATCCTTTCACCATGGCCTCCCAAAGTGCTGTGATTATAGGGATGAGCCAACATGCCCGTCTGCCTCAGCCTTCTAAGTAACTGGAAGTACAGGTGTACACCACCTTTCCCAGCTAATTTTTTTTTATTGTAGATTCAAGGTCTCACCTTGTTGCCCAGGCTGGTCTTGAACATGTGGGCTCAGGTAATCCTCTCTCCTCCACTTCCCAAAATGCTGGGATTACAGCTGTGATCCACCGTGCCCAGCAGAAAAAAATTTATTAAAAAAAAAATAAAACAGCAAATAAGGAAAAAAGGGACAAAGAAAACAGAGATAAAGAAAGATAAAAACAAACTGTCCCATAAAAGTAGAGAGAGACCACATTAGAGAGAAAGACAACCAGAAAGTTAGTGAATTTGGAACCAGAGATAAACCCCTCTTGTCCTGCACGGGTTTGGGTCCAGAGCCTTGGAGAGCCTTTCTTTTTTTGAGTTGGAGTTTCACTCCGTCACCCAGACTGGAGTGCAGTAGCCACTCCCGGCCACCGCAGCCTCGACCCACTGGGCTCCGGCGATCCTTCCGTCTCAGCCTTCCGAGTAGCCGGAATTACAGGTGCGTGCTACCACGCCCGGCTCATTTTTGATTTATTGTAGAGATGAGGTCTCGTCAAGTTGCCCAGGCAGGTCTCGAACCCGCGGGCTCAGGCAATCCACTCACCTCAGCCTCCCAAAGGTGCGGGATTACAGGCTGAGCCACCGAGCCCGGCTGGAGAGCCTTTCTAATAAGCCATTGCCCTAAGGCCTTAGTCTTCAAGCCTCTGTTGGCACAAACCTGGAGCTGAACTTGATCCTCACAGTCTCGTCTGGGGCTCACTGCCCGGCTTTTGATCCCTAAACACTTAAGGTTCAGCAGCAAATATTGCCTGAGCTTGAGTCCTTGTGGGAGCTTAAATGGGGGCTTTCTCTCTCTCTCTCTCTCTCCATTTAGCTGGGGAGATTCAGCTTGTGTCAGTCATAATGCTTAGAGTGTTCTCAGTGTGCCAAAGGAGCAACGAAGATATGAATACAGGTAAGAGTCCTTTTTGGATGAGGGAGGTATTGAAAGATGGCTAAGAAACAGGGCATCTGGGAGGTGGTGGGGGAAACGGGGAAGTTTCCAAACTAGGAGATCTGGCAAAAGCCAAGCCTGAGAGTCAGGAAGTCAAGAGATGACTGGGAATCCCTGGGATGAGTTGGACTAGGCCAACTCAGATTTGAGAAGACCTTGAATGCCAAAATGAAGAGCTAGGAGTTCATTGGAAACAGTGAGTGCCAATAATAGGCTTGAGTTGGGGGTCCAAGGGGGCAGGCAGCAGCACTGGATGGATTGGAGTGGGGAGCTGTGGTGGCAGGGACAGAGGTCCTGACCAGGCTCAGAGACCCAGCAGATGAGGAGAGGGGGCATAGTGACTGGGGTTTCAGTTTGAGTGACATAGATATGCTGGTACCATGAGAAAATGAGCAAATAAATTGGAGGTGGGGGTCCCAGAGATGACCTGATTAGGCTTCTTCCCCCTACTCTAGGACACCTTTTTATTTTTTTGAATTGGAGTCTCACTCTGTCACCCAGGCTGGAGTGCAGTGCCAGGCTCACGGCCACCACAGCCTTAACCTGCTGGGCTCAGGTGATCCTTCCGCCTCAGCCTTCCAAGTAGCTGGAACTACAGGTATGCCACCACATCCAGCTAATTTTTTTATTTATTGTAGAGATGAGGTCTCACCAAGTTGCCCCGGCTTGTCTCAAACCTGTGGGCTCAGGCAATTCTCTCACCTTGGCCTCCCAAAGCATTGGAATTATAGGTGTGAGCCACCGCGCCTGGCTCTAGGAACCTTTAAGGTCCCCCAGAACAAGTTTAAAAACCTCAAATCCAGTCAGAGTCCTGAATCCTACATTGTTCAAATGAAAAACACGGAGGCATAAAGAAGAGAAACAATTTGCCTAAGGTCATGGTTGGTATCAAAGTCTGAGCTTGAACGCCAGGTGTCTGCCTCAGAGGGGAATGTGTCAGGCTGGACTGAGATAAGAGTAGGCTGTGCTTCTGGGGTTTAAGACCCTCAACACCTCCACCTGAGGGGGCAAGGGATCAGACCTGACATGGCAGCTGGAGCTCTGGGGGATAGACTCTGGTGGGGTGGACAGTCCTGGCTAAAGCTAAACTTGGGGATTATCTGAGCTTTCACTTGGCTAAAATTTCCACCCATCAGCAACAATCTCTCTCTCTCTCTCTCTCTCTCTGTCTCTCTCTCTCTCTCTCTCTCATACACATACACACAAACACACACAGCTGTAGCTTCCTTCAGAGGGAGCTGGACCCAGAGGAGGGCTGGGACAGGGCATGAGTGCTCACCTGGCCTAGCAGTTGCCTAACAGGTATGCCAGGTGTGCCTTAGAAATTATTCTCCACGGGAATAACACATACCCATTTCCCAGCTATAGAGTTTGCAAAGTGTTCTTACAACTCCTTGGTAAAGATATCTTACTTGAGATATTACCTTTTTTATCTGGCCTTCAGTTTCTTATGGTAAAATGAGTTTTTGTTTGTTTTGTTCTTCCCCCAAGGTGCCCTTTAAAGTTCTTTTAAGCTCCAATTCCAAGGAATGTTCTCTGAATTCCTGCTCCTCTCTGAGTCCTCGCCCAATAAACCCTCCTTTGCACAAGATTTCTGGGCCAAACCTCTATTTAAATTGTTCACAGCCAGCACCTTGACCTTCACTAGGCACTTAGGTGCCAAGGCTGAAGACTGGACCCAACCAGCTGAAGCCTAAGAACTTTGGCCAGTGCTTGAGGTTTAGGCTGTGAATGGGGATTGTGACCCCCAACCTGAGACCCCGGGCCCTGTGATCTGCCGAAACGATAGATGCAGAAAGATTGGAGGGCTCAGGATTGCACCTGAGTCCCAGCATTGAGCACGGTGCTCTAGAAAGAGGAGGAAGAGAGGAGGGGCCCCACCCGCCTGGTGAGGTCATGGGAAAGCAGCTCTGGCGCTGACACCTGGGGAAACCCGTTTCCAGGCTGCTTCCCACGCTACCTCTCCTGGGAACCAGCTAAGCCCCAAGCGGGGAGTCCCACACCTGCCCCCCAGTCCAGTTCCCATCATTCTGCCTGCCCCCACCCTTCACCCTAGCCTCAATCCTCTGGTACCCAACGTGTCTCTATCCAGGCATTGGGGCTTGAGGAGGCTTATGAGGGAGAAGCAGGTTGGCCACTCCAGCAAACGACAGAGACAGCAGCTTTACAAACATACGGTTTTATTGGCAGATTCTGCACTGCTCTAGTTTCTAGGTTGTATGACCTTGAGGAAAGGGATGCCCTCCCCCCAGCCCCTTCCTCCTTCAGGCTCTATTTTGCAGCTCCTCCCCCTCCTTTTTCTGGTTCTGGACTCTCACTTCCTGTCCTGCTCCTGGTCCAGCCAGTTTGGGCAGTGCCTAGGAAGCCCCGAGACCCAGTTCTTCTCAGGGACCAGACCCGCCCTCCCTGGCCTTGGGGGTTGAGGGCAGCCCAGGTGTCAGCCTGCTCTCAGCTGCTGGACTTCCCTGCTCTCCTTCTCCTGATCTTTCTCCTTCCAGGCCCAGCCCTCTGATCTGCCATCAGTCCCACAGCTCTGGCTCCCAGACCTCACTCTCTGCTCCTTTTATGTCTCTCACTGGCCTCTGCCTTACCCACTCCATCTCAAGCTTCTCTCCAACTTAAGGCTGAACACCTTCCAGCCCTCCAAGATCCCTGGCTGTTCCCCAGGCTCTTCCTCACCCCTGTGCAAGGAGGGGGTGGGGACCACCACAAGGGGTCCTCATTCAGCCAGGCTGCCCTGAGGGCCCATGATAAGAAACCGGAAATTGAATCCCAAACTGCTCAGAGGCGGCTGACCCTGCTAGGACCATTCCATGAAATCAAAGTGCTGAGTTTTCTCTGTGAGCTTTGACTGGAGAAATCCAAATCAGAGCCTTCCCTCCTCCATGCCCTAGGCTCACCCTGGCATATGACAGTGGGCAGAGGCCCAGGCGCCCACCCCACAGTGTTCCAAAGGGAACCGAATCCCATGGGGGTGGCCACGCTCTGCCAGTGACACCCTAAAAGGCCCCATGCCCCAGGTTCCAGAAGTCACTGGCCTCCTGCCTTCTGCTTGTTATGCTGCCATAGCTGCTCAAACAAAGCAGAAGAACTTCTTCCAGCGGCAGCGCGAGAGGGTGCGCACACCTTTGGCATTCAGTTTCTTCTCCAGACGAGCTTTGTGCTCAATGGCACTGAGAATGGCCGAGTCAAACACCTCCTTCAAGTTCTTTTGTGTCAAGGCTGAGCACTCCAGATAGCAGCAGGCCCGGATCTTCTCGGCCAGACCCTGAGCCTGGGGTTGGGGCACGGGGCCCTCCCGACCCCCCTGGTCCAGCTCAATCAGTACATTGACATCGTCCCTCAGGTCGGCCTGAGTGCCCACCAGCAGCACAGGCGCCTGGGGGTTGTGAGTGCGGATCTCGGGCAGCCATTTCTCTGTGATGTTTTGAAAGGAGCTGGGCTGCACCACGCTGAAGCACGCCAGGAAGACATCGGTATCCGGGTAGCAGAGGGAGCGAAGCCGGTCAAAGTCCTCCTGGGGTGGGGAGGCCAGGTGGTTAGTGGATTATCCCCTGCCACATGGAAGAGGAACCCACTTCTTACCTGGGGCTGGAAACCCGAGACTCCAAGAGCCAAGGCCTGCTTCATTCTTGCTTCATCTGGGGTCCTCCCAGGCTCCAGCCCACCTCCCCCTGGACCAGCAGTGGCTGTGCCCAGCTTCTCACCTGCCCCGCTGTGTCCCAGAGTTCAATGCGCACGGGGGCTCCATCCACCAGGACTTGCACTGCAGGGGTGGAGCGGGGAGAGCCTGCGTTAGAAAGAGCGTCCTAGGCCCCACCAGCGCCACCTCGGGGCCCGCCGCCGGCTCCTCCCCGGGGTCTTCGGTGCCCTCCCGCCGCGACGCCCGCCCCAGCTCCCGGGTGCACGACCGACCGCAGCCACGAGGCCGCCGGGGCTGTTGAACGTACCGGAGAAGGTGTCCAGCGCCGTGGGCCGGTAGCGCGCAGGGTACCCGTTGCAGGTGTAGCTGACGATGAGGCTGCTCTTACCCACCGCGCCATCACCCACCAGCACGCACTTGATGCCCAGCTCCGGGGGCGCGCTACGCCGCCGCGGAGGAGGGGTCGGGGCCCGGAGCGGGGGCGGCTCGGCCTCGCTCAGCTCCCGCGGCGGCATGGCCCGCTCCGGGGGCAGCAGAGGGGCCAGCCCGGGACCAGGCTCCTCGGCGCTCGGGAAAGCGGGTTCAACGGGCTGCCTCTCACTGAGTCGGTCCAGGCTGGGCGCGGCGGCCAACGCCACCCGCGGGTATATGTAGGGCCACGCCCACTTCATCTGCATGTCCCGAGCGGCCCCGACTCCGCCCACCGGCGACACCGCCCTCTGCAGGGCACCCTGCAAGGCCAGGCGATCTCAAGATACGGTGGGGAGAAAAGGCCAGCGAAGAGCTGACGCTCAAAAACCCACGCAGGTACAAGGACAAAGGATCGCCAGTGAGAATACCAAGAAGAGACAGACGTCCATGATTTATTGTTAGGAGGAAGAAGCAAGTTGCAGAACATACAATACAGCGGGCTCAAGTTAAACAAGTGTTCAGATTAAACCTTTTCCAATTTTCAACAAAAACGCTATACTGTACAGACATTTGTATGAGTATTAAAAAGTTGGAATAATTTTATTTTATTTTTATTTTTTTTATTTTTTTTGAGTTGGAGTCTCACTCTGCCGCCCAGACTGGAGTGCAGTGGCCGCTCCCGGCCACCGCAGCCTCGACCTGCTGGGCTCCGGTGATCCTTCCGCCTCACCCTTCCAAGTAGCTGGAACTACAGGCACACGCTACCACGCCTGGCTAATTTTTGATTTATTGTAGATGAGGTCTCGCCAAGTTGCCCGGGCAGGTCTTGAACCCGTGGACTCAGGCAGTCTACTCACCTCGGCCTTCCAAAGCGCTGGGATTACAGACTGAGCCACTGAGCCTGGCCGTTATTATTATTATTATTATTTCTGGTCAGGATCTCACTTTGTCTCCCAAGCTGGAGTGAAATGGCATGATGGCATGATCATGGTTCGCTGCAGCCCCTACCTTCTGGGCTTAGTCGATCCTTTTGCCTCAGCTTCCTGAGTAATTAGGACTACAAGCCCACGCCACCACGTCTGGCTAATTTTTTAAAAAACATATATATATATATATGTTTGTAGAGATGAGGTCCTGCTGTGTTGCCAAAGCTGGTCTCAAATTCCTGGGCTTAAGCAATGCTCCCACCAGGGCCTCCCAAAGTGCTGGGATTATAAACATGAGCCATTGCAGCAAGCCTAAAGGAATGATATTTTAAAATACTGTTGACCTTTGAACAATGTGAGAGTTGGGGTGACAACCCTGCAGTCAGTTGAAAATCCACATTTAGCTTTTGACTCCCCTGAAACTTAACTATTAATAGTCTACTGTTGATCAGAAGACTTACCAAAACATAAACAGTCAATTAACACATATTTTGTATGTAACATGTCTTTTTATTTTTTATTTTTTGAGTTGGAGTCTCACTCTGTTGCTCAGACTGGAGTGCAGTGGCACACTCCCAGCCACCACAGCCTTGACCTGCTGGGCTCCGGAGGTCCTTCCGCCTCAGCCTTCCAAGTAGCTGGAATTACAGGCATGCACTACCATGCCTGGCTGATTTTTTTTTTTTTTTTTAATTGTAGAGATGAGGTCTCGCCAAGTTGCCCAGGCAGGTCTCGAACCTGCGGGGTCAGGCAATCCACTCACCTCAGCCTGGAAGTAGATATTATTAAGGTCTTCATTCTCATGGTCTTCACCTTGAGTAGGCTGAGGAGGAGGGAAGAGAGGGGTTGCTCTTTCTATGTCAGGGGTGGCAGAGGCAGGAGACTTGGAAGGGAAGGCAGGAAAGGCAGGCACACTTGCCATCGCTTTTATTGAAAAAATATCCTATTACAAGTGGACCTGCACATTTCCAACCTGCACATTTCCAACCTGTGTTGTTCAAGGGTCAACTGTTGTCAGATCATGAGAGAGGCAGAGACTCAAGTGTGAACACAGCAGGCAGGAATGACAGTACTCCCTGTCACGGAAGAGCTTCCTTTCTACTCAGCCTTTAAGGCAGGCTTTGGACACCTTCACTCCCTGGCTAAAGGAACTCAGGGTGCTGAGAAACTGACTGGGAGGATCTTCATGGACAATTATCTATTTGAATGTTTTATAAATCCCCAATATTATCTTCCTCATCATTAAAAGCACATAGTAATTACCTATTTACAAATGCTGTTCTGGGTCACCCATTGTCCTTGCCCTAGAAGAAGTTTGCAGACTAAGACAAGATCTCCCAGATAGCCTTAGGAAGGTCACCTAGAGAGCAAGTTAAGAGTAGCCTAATGCTAATTTTGTCTCTTTATTGCAGTCACACCAAGTGACACCAGGTCCAGAATCCTTTCTCTGATCTCCAAGACAGCCTTTCATCTCAACCTATACAAAGGTCATTGAAAATACCTTCACACAGAAAGTCAGCTATTCATGAGTTTGGGGGAGGGACAGTGTTGCAGGGGAACAGGTGGTGAATCTTTTTTTTTTTTTTTTCAGTTGGAGTCTCACTCTGTCACCCAGACTGGAGTGCAATGGCATGCACACAGCCACCCCAGTGTCGACATGCTGGGCTGAGGCGATCCTTCTGCCTCAGCCTTCCAAGTAACCAGAACTACAGGCGCACGCTACAATGCCCAGCTAACTTTTTTATTTTATTGTAGAGATGAGGTCTCACCATGTTCCCCAGGCAAGTCTCGAACCCTCAGGCTCAGGCAATCCTCTTGCCTTGGCCTCCCAGAGTGCTGGGATTACAAACTTGAGCCATTGTGCCTAACCAAGGTGGTGAATCTTAAAGAACAGAGATAATCCTATTTCTCAAAGAGTTCATGTATAAAAATCTATAAATCTAAATCTCATGGAAAAAGTCTCAGGTTCTCTGATTTTTCTTTCTTTCTTTTTGAGTTGGGGTCTCACTCTTTCACCCAAGCTGGATTACAGTGGCATGATCACAGCTCACCACAGCCACTACCTCCTGGGCTCAGGCAATCCTCCTGACTCAGTCTCTGAAGTAGCTGAGACTACAGGCGTGCACCACCATGCCTGGATATTTTTTTTTTTGGTAGAGAAGAGGTCTTGCTATGTTGCCTAGACTGGTCTCAAACTCTTGGGCTCCAATAATCCTCTCTTCTTGGCTTCCCAAAGTACTGGGATTACAGGCATGAGGCACTGCACCCAGCTCTTTCCTTTTTCTTTTCTTCTTTTTATTGAGCCAAAAGGAGAGGATAACAGCAAATCTTGACTACGGAGAAATGGTGGGATCCCAGTATCTGTTTCTACATCCCAATGTCTAATCCTTCATTCCCTATATCTGAATGTCTGTTAATAATCCCTAATCGTAGCCTCAAAGTCCCAAAGACTTCTCAGACACATTCAGGTAAATTTATTCATCTGGTAAGTGAAAGAGGCCTTAAGTGTTGTCCTACTTCTGTATCTCCCTAGAAAGTCCAAAAGCTGCCGGGCGTGATGGCTCACATCTGTAATTCCAGCACTTTGGGAGGCGGAGGTGAGAAGATTGCCTGAGCCCAGCAGGATGAGGCTGCAGTGGCCGCGAGCATGCCACTGCATTCCAGCTTGAGAGACAGAGCGAGACTCCATCTCAAAAAAAAAATCCAAGAGTTGTTCTCTTTGCTCTCCTGGAAAAGGAGAGAGATTTTAAAAGACCTGGATGCCCAGTGCAGTGGCTCAAGCCTGTAATCCCAGCAGTTTGGGAGGCGGAGAGGAGAGGATTGCCAGAGCCTAGGGGTTCGAGACCAGCCTGGGCAATTAGGTGAGACCTTGTCTCTACAATAAATCAAAAAATTAGCCAGGTGTGGTAACATGCGCCTGTAGTTCCAGCTATTTGGAAGGCTGAGGTGGAAGGATCCTGAGACCAACAGGTTGAGTCTGTGGTGGCCATAAGTGTGCCACTGCACTCCAGCCTGGGCAACAGAGTGAGACTTCAACTCAAAAAAAAAAAAACAAAAAAAAAAGACCTGGACATCAGGAGAGGAGACCTGTCCCAGTGTTTCCAGTTCTTCAGCTCACTAGCTTTGTGACTCTCACAAAATCACTCCATCAGTGCCATAAAATGCCAGGTGAAGCGTGCTTATCTATGAAAGTCCTTCTAGTGCTAGCAATCTATGATTCAGAGATCTTAGGAAAGCTGTCCAAGCCCAAGTGTCTGGGACAAAACTACTACTACTAATACTACACACGCACGCACACATGCACACTCACAGAGTCTCCTTTACAGTGTTCATGTTCTTTTACCTGGATTTTAATACTAGTTTTATTGTAGCTGTAAATTTGAGGGTAATACTGTTTAATCCTTTCTGTAGATAGGAGGGGGTATAAATACACAAATTGGGGGCGATGTTGGCTGGGCACGGGTAAAAGCCCTTACTTGGCCTGAGATAGTCCATTCTTTTCTGGCCTCATGGGTGGGGATACTTTCTAACCTAGGTCTGTCTGTTTGAGTTGGTTTAGGGATAGTCTTGTCAGCAAGAGGGGGAGGGAGGAGACAACCTGGGGAGCTGGTGAGTCACCTATTTCTCAGCTGAGGACTTGCAATTCTGGCTGCTACTGCTGGGAAAGTCCCCTCCTAAGGGCGGGTTGGGTCTTACTCTTGCCCACCTGCCAGATCTTCTGCCCCAACTTTTCGCTAGACACATGTTTGCTAGGATTAAAACTTGGCCCTGACATTCTCCATGGAGAAATGGTAGACCCTAGGATTGGGGCAGGAAATAGGCATGATAGCCCTGAAGCATGTTGTGGCCCAGAAAGCAAGGAAGTGCCAAACAAACAAACAAAAAACAGGACTATAGAAAGTACTTCAAATGAACACGGGAGCCAATGGAAAGAGCATACAATGAGCAACAAAACACAGCACTGGATTATAGCCCAAAGTCTAAAATAACTGCCCATAAGTCTACACAAATAAATAATTAAATACAAAAATAAATGGAGGATGATAAACAAATCTCCCATGCAGAAGAATCCCAAATAATGTGTGTAGGGACTCTGCCCTCAAGGAGACAGAATCCCTACTCCTTAAGTGTGGGCTGTTCACAGTGACTTCCTTTCAAAGACTATAGTATGAAAAGGGTGAGAAAAAGTAACTCAGTAGAGAATCCTGACAAACACTCCTCCAATCCTTCTTGACCAAGATGAAGATCATAGTGGTAAGGCAAGTTGTCGCTATGCACCTTACTAAGATATGATGGGAAAGTCATGTAGAGCTGCATGGGA